TCTTTAATTTTTGATTTTAGAAGCAATTTTGCTTCAGCTTTTAAAATTTTGATTTGTGAGTGGATTTTGTTGGAATAGGGTCGTTTTAGGAAACTTGATCGTTATAGGAATAGGATCATGTTACGAGCCCAAAAAGTTTTGGCAGAAAGTGTCGGAAAAATTAAAGCTCTTTACAGAGTTGAGATAATGGGCTGAAAGTTTTACATGTCCGGGGTCAAATTTTATGCCGCATCTGGGAAAAATACGGACGGAAGATTTTGGTACCCCCATGGTACCTAAATAATATAGGTGCCGGGGCTATCTCGGGAATGAGTGGACTTAGAGGAAAATTTCTGCTTGGAGGGCACTGAAGCATCAAAAGACAATGTCGAATGCAAAAAACTCGAGATCGAAATTCGAATTTGAAGGGTACTTATGCTTGACACAAAATTCAGACATTTCCTGTGAATTGTCGGGTGTGTCGGGATTTAAAATAAGAGTTTTTCGAAAATAACTCGAAAACGGATAAAGATACTGAAAAACTTCTGCTGGTAGGATTTTAAGTTGGGATATGTAGATATAGGTAGGAAAAATTTCAAATTTGAAATTCGAACTTTAGGGGTACTTATGCTTGACACAAAATTCTGGTAAGAAAACTGTCTTACCGATAATTGTCGGATTTCTCTAAAGTGAGGAAATCCTGGGGGCAAATCTCATAGGTGAGAGAGAAATTTTGATTGATAGAGGAGAAATTGGAAGCAGAAGCAAGGGTAAACTTGAAGCAGAAGCAAGTTTCAAGTTTAAGTAGGGGAAGTTAAAGCAAATGGGTAAAATTCGAAGCAAGGTCGAAATTAGGGATCCGGGATTTGGGATTTTTAGGGATCTTTGAATATGGTCGAATGAGTAGTCATTCGAAAGCGGATAATGAGGGGAGTTGGATGGGATAAATGATAAAGCCGCAAGTCGAAGTTCGAACTTCGAAATCCGGGTTTTTCGGGATTTTCGGATATGGGTGAGTGGGTATTCGTTCAAGAGGGGATGATCAGGGGAGTTTGGGGGTATAAATGAGAAATTCAAAAGTCGAAGTTCGGAGTTCGAACTTCGAAATCCGGTATTTTCGAGATTTGTGGATATGGGTGAGTGGGTATTCGTTCAAGAGGGGATGATCAGGGGAGTTTGGGGGTATAAATGAGAAATTCAAAAGTCGAAGTTCGGAGTTCGAACTTCGAAATCCGGTATTTTCGAGATTTGTAGATATGGGTGAGTGGGTAGTATTCAATAGGGGATGATCAGGGGAGTTCGGGGGGATAAAGGAGAAATTCGAAAGTCGAAGTTCGGAGTTCGAACTTCGAAATCCGGTATTTTCGGGGGTTGGGGATATGGGCAAGTGGGTAGTCATTCAAGAGCTGGGAGTGAGGGGAGTATAATGGGATAAATGATAAAGCCGCAAGTCGAAGTTCGGAGTTCGAACTTCAAAATCCGGAATTTTCAGGATTGGTAAATGTGGTCGAATGAGTACTCATTCAAGAGGGGATGATGAGGGGAGCTGAATGAGATAAAGGATAAGTACGAAAGTCGAAGTTCGAAGTCGAACTTCGAAATCCTGGATTTCCGGGAGAGAGAAGTATGGTCGAATGAGTACTCATTCAAGAGGGGATAATTAGTGGAGCTTAGTGGGATAAAGGATCAAGCCAAAAGTTGAAGTTCAGAGTTCGAACTTCGAAATCCGGGATTTTCGGTATTGGGAAGTATGGGTGAGTGGGTAGTCATTCAAGAGGGGATGATCAGGGGAGTCGAATGGGATAAAATATTAAGCCGAAAGTCGAAGTTCGGAGTTCGAACTTCGAAATCCGGGAATTTCGGGATTGGAGATTTAAGTGGATATGGGTGAATGAGTACTCTTTTAAGAGGGGATAATGAGGGGAGATCAATGGGTTTACTAATAATTTCGAATTTCGAAGTTTTTAGTAAGGGTCGTTTTAGGAAACTTGATCGTTATAGGAATAGGATCATGTTACGAGCCCAGAACCCAGCGACCTTTGACGACCCGCGAGGCGCGTGCCGCAAAACCCCGCGCGAAGCGCGGGGTTTTGCACAAGCGCCTCGCCTACGCTCCATAGGTTTAGATTGACCATTTTTAATCAAAAAGGAGTCGCGAGGGCCGAAGGCCCGAGCTGACACCCATCTAAAAGTGAGAACGAGGGCCGAAGGCCCGAGATAAACACCCATCTAAAAGGAAGGGCGAGGGCCGAAGGCCCGAGCTGACACCCATCTAAAAGGAAGGGCGAGGGCCGAAGGCCCGAGCTGACACCCATCTAAAAGGGAGGGCGAGGGCCGGAGGCCCGAGCTAACACCCATCTAAAAGGGAGTGCGAGGGCCGAAGGCCCGAGCTGACACCCATCTAAAAGGGAGTGCGAGGGCCGAAGGCCCGAGCTAACACCCATCTAAAAGGGAGTGCGAGGGCCGAAAGCCCGAGCTGACACCCATCTAAAAGGAGTCGCGAGGGCCGAAGGCCCGAGCTGACACCCATCTAAAAGGGAGGGCGAGGGCCGGAGGCCCGAGCTAACACCCATCTAAAAGGGAGTGCGAGGGCCGAAGGCCCGAGCTGACACCCATCTAAATGGAGTCGCGAGGGCCGAAGGCTTGAGCTGACACCCATCTAAAAGAGAGGGCGAGGGCCGAAGGCCCGAGCTGACACCCATCTAAAAGGGAGTGCGAGGGCCGAAGGCCCGAGCTAACACCCATCTAAAAGGGAGTGCGAGGGCCGAAAGCCCGAGCTGACACCCATCTAAAAGGAAGGGCGAGGGCCGAAGGCCCGAGCTAACACCCATCTAAAAGGAAGGGCGAGGGCCGAAGGCCCGAGCTGACACCCATCTAAAAGGGAGGGCGAGGGCCGAAGGCCCGAGCTGACACCCATCTAAAAGGAAGGGCGAGGGCCGAAGGCCCGAGCTGACACCCATCTAAAAGGGAGGGCGAGGGCCGAAGGCGAAGTGACACTAAGTGGAAGGATGAGTCCCAATGAAGGCTAATCTTTTGTTCCAGGCATAAAAAATCGCTAGCGGCGCGCGAAGCGCGCCCCCAAAGCCGTTAGGCTTTCGAACGGGCAGAGCCAAATTTAAACCCAAAGCAAAATTTAACCGCCACAGTGTCCTGATATCCACCCCAGTGGCCAAACCCATCGCTAGTTTATATATATATATAAAAGTATTGGTAAAATCTCTACAAAAATTTAGAACTCTTTACAGAGTTGAGATAATGGGCTGAAAGTGTTACATGTCCGGGGTTAAATCTTATTGGGCATTTGGGAAAAATAAGGACGGAAAATTTTAGGAACCCCTTGGTACCTAAATAATAGAGGTACCGGGGATATCTCGGGACTGGGTACAGATACGCGTGTCGGACTAACGGGAGGGCACTTAAGCATCAATAGACAATGTCGATTGCAAAAAACCCGAAGTCGAAATTCGAATTTCAAGGGTACTTATGCGTGAGCAAAGAATCAGACATTTCCAGTGAATTGTCGGGTGTGTCGGTATTTAAAATTCGAGTTTTTCGAAAATAACTCGAAAACGGATAAAGATACCGAAAAAATTCTGCTGGGAGGCGATTGAAGCAGAACGAGGAGATATAGGTAGGAAAAATTTCAAAGTCGAAATTCAAACTTTAGGGGTACTTATTGGGGGGCAAAAATTTCTGTAAGAAATCTGTCTTACCGATAATTGTCGGATTTCTTCAAATTGAGGAAAGCCAGGAGGCAAATCTCATAGGTGAGAGAGAAATTTTGATGGATAGGAGAAATTTCGAGTGAAAATAGTGGGATTTCGAAACTTAAGCAAGTTTCGAGTTGAGGGAGGGATGAAATAGGGGAAGTTGAGGGGGAATTCGAAATTAGGGATCCGAGATTTCGGGATTTTTAGGGATTTTAGAATATGGTCGAATGAGTAGTCATTCGAAAGCGGATAATGAGGGGAGTTGAATGGGATATATGGTAAAGCCGAAAGTCGAAGTTCGGAGTTCGAACTTCGAAATCCGGTTTTTTCGGGATTTGTGGATATGGGTGAGTGAGTATTCGTTCAAGAGCAGGGAGTGAGGGGAGTCTAAAGGGATAAGGGATAAGTATGAAAGTCGAAGTTCGGAGTTCGAACTTCGAAATCCGGGTTTTTCGGGGCTGGGGATATGGGCAAGAGGGTAGTCATTCTTGAGCTGGGACTAAGGGGAGTCTAATGGGATAAAGGATTAAGCCTAAAGTCGAAGTTCGGAGTTCGAACTTCGAAATCCGGGATTTTCGGGATTGGGATATATGGGTGTGTGGGTATTTGTTCAAGAGGGGATAATCAGGGGAGCTTAGTGGGATAAAGGAGAAATTCGAAAGTCGAAGTTCGGAGTTCGAACTTCGAAATCCGGTATTTTCGGGGGTTGGGGATATGGGCAAGAGGGTAGTCATTCAAGAGGGGATGTTCAGGGGAGTTTAATGGGATAAAGGATAATGTCGAAAGTCGAAGTTCGGAGTTCGAACTTCGAAATCCGGTATTTTAGGGGGTTGCGGATATAGGCAAGTGGGTAGTCATTCAAGAGGGGATGTTCAGGGGAGTCTAATGGGATATAGGATAAAGTCGAAATTCGAAGTTCCGAGTACGAACATCGAAATCCGTGATTTTCGGGATTGGGAAGTGTGGTCGAATGAGTACTCATTCAAGAGGGGATGATCAGGGGAGTCAAATGGGATAAAGGATAATGTCGAAATTCGAGGTTCCGAGTACGAACTTCGAAATTCGGTATCTTCGGGATTTGAGATTAACGTGGATATGGTGAATGAGTACTCATTCAAGAGGGGATGTTCAGGGGAGTCTAATGGGATATAGGATAAAGTCGAAGTTCGGAGTTCGAACTACGAAATCCGGGATTTTCGGGATTTGAGATTAAAGTGGATATCGGTGAATGAGTAGTCATTCAAGAGGGGATAATGAGGGGCTCCGAAAAAGGTATAATATGTCGGGGGTCCGGTTGAGTCTGAAAAAGTTATGGCCAATGTTCGCAAATGTCGCGAAACTTTTTTGGACTATAATTTTTTTGAAAATTTTTATAGAATTTTTCTGACACCGGATATGGATTCAACGGGTGACAGAGTACCATATAGGATATTTTTGGGTCAAAATTGGAAAATTTTTGACCCTTCGAATTTTTCAAAAGGGGTACCCCTTTTGGGGGATTTGTGGGATTTTTTAGGGGATCATAACTTTTTGTGGGATTTATGGAATTGGATGTGGTTTGCTTTACAAAATAGAATAAAAAATTAGAAATTTTTTGAGCCCAAAAAATTTCGAAAAAAGTCGAAACGGGAGGTGTAGGGGTCAAATTTCGAAAAACCCTAAATTTTTTATTTTTTCGAAATTTTTTCGGGTTTTTTGGCAGCGGTACGCGCCGAAGCCATTTTTCTTGGATAAAGCAGATTTTTCTGCATCTGATAAGATTTTAAAATCTTTACAAAAGGTATATTTGGGCGAGATATGATTTTTTAAATATTTCAGTGATTTTTTTCGGCTGAAATTCTCGGCCAAAAAATATAATTTTAAAAATCAAAATAGATATGTCAAATGAGATATCATTCGAAAGCTCTCATCGAGCTGGATATAAAAATATTTTTTTTTCGGAATTTTTCGGTACATTTTGACGAAGTTACAAAAGTTCAAAATTTATCGGGTTGGACTACCGTACCCGGAGAATGATGGGAGGGAGAGAGGAAAAATGATTGACAGGTGAAATAGGTGGAAGAGAGGCGAAATTTTTCTCCGTCTCTGCCTATGCGGGGCAAACCGTAGAAAAGTTCAGAGTTGAATTTTGTATATTGGGAAAAATTTTGTGGGAGGATAAACTGGATCCTGTTATGGATCCGAAGCAGAAGCAAGCTTCTGCTTCAAATTTTTGTTTCGAGTTTCGAATTTTTGAAACTTGAAGCAAATTGCTTCAGGTTTTGAATTTTTTGAAACTTTAAGCAAATTTGCTTCAGGTTTTTGCTTCAGGTTTTTCTTCAACTTTTGAATTTTTTGAAGTTGAAGCAAAATTGCTTCAACTTTTTAATTTTGTTTTTTAGAAGCGAGGGCCGAAGGCCTGAGCTGACACCCATCTAAAAGAGAGGGCGAGGGCCAAAGGCCCGAGCTGACACCTATCTAAAAGGGAGGGCGAGGGCCGAAGGCCCGAGCTGACACCCATCTAAAAGGAAGGGCGAGGGCCGAAGGCCCGAGCTAACACCCATCTAAAAGGAAGGGCGAGGGCCGAAGGCCCGAGCTGACACCCATCTAAAAGGGAGGGCGAGGGCCGAAGGCCCGAGCTGACACCCATCTAAAAGGAAGGGCGAGGGCCGAAGGCCCGAGCTGACACCCATCTAAAAGGGAGGGCGAGGGCCGAAGGCCCGAGCTGACACCCATCTAAAAGGGAGGGCGAGGGCCGAAGGCCCGAGCTGACACCCATCTAAAAGGAAGGGCGAGGGCCGAAGGCCCGAGCTGACACCCATCTAAAAGGGAGGGCGAGGGCCGAAGGCCCGAGCTGACACCCATCTAAAAGGAAGGGCGAGGGCCGAAGGCCCGAGCTGACTCCCATCTAAAAGGGAGGGCCGAAGGGTGGAAGGATGAGTCTAAGTGGAAGGATGAGTCCAAATGGGAGGAAGACGAGGGCCGAAGCCCCGAAGTGACTCTAAGTGGAAGGATGAGTCCAAATGAGGGGAAGACGAGGGCCGAAGTCCCGAAGTGACTCAAAGTGGAAGGATGAGTCCAAATGAGGGGAAGACGAGGGCCGAAGTCCCGAAGTGACTCTAAATGGATGGATGAGTCCCAACTGAAGGCTAATCTTTTGTTCCAGGCATAAAAAATCGCTAGCGGCGCGCGAAGCGCGCCCCCAAAGCCGTTAGGCTTTCCAAGGGGCAGAAGTTTCGTAATTTAAAGAACCCCCCGATGTATTTTACCGCCAGAGTGTCCTGATATCAACAACAGTGGCCAAACCCATCGCTAGTTTATATATATATATAAAAGTATTGGTAAAATCTCTACAAAAATTTAGAACTCTTTACAGAGTTGAGATAATGGGCTGAAAGTGTTACATGTCCGGGGTCAAATTTAAGGGGGCATATGGGAAAAATAAGGACGGAAAATTTTAGGAACCCCTTGGTACCTAAATAATAGAGGTACCGGGGATATCTCGGGACTGGGTACAGATACGCGTGTCGGACTAACGGGAGGGCACTTAAGCATCAATAGACAATGTCGATTGCAAAAAACCCGAAGTCGAAATTCGAAGTTAAAGGGTACTTATGCGTGAGCAAAGAATCAGACATTTCCGGTGAATTGTCGGGTGTGTCGGTATTTAAAATTCGAGTTTTTCGAAAATAACTCGAAAACGGATAAAGATATCGAAAAACTTCTGCTGGTAGGATTTTAAGTTGAGATATGTAGATATAGGTAGGAAAAATTTCAAAGTCGAAATTCGAACTTGGGGGTACTTATAGGGGGGCAAAAATTTTTGTAAGAAAATTGTCTTACCGATAATTGTCGGATTTCTCTAAATTGAGGAAAGCCAGGGGGCAAATCTCATAGGTGAGAGAGAAATTTTGATGGGCAGTTGAAATTTCGGCTTGAAAAAGTGGGATTTCGAAACTTAAGCAAGTTTCGAGTTGAGGGAGGGATGAAGTAGGGGAAGTTGAGGGGGAATTCGAAATTAGGGATCCGGGATTTCGGGATTTTTAGGGATTTTCGAATATGGTCGAATGAGTAGTCATTCGAAAGCGGATAATGAGGGGAGTTGAATGGGATATATGGTAAAGCCGAAAGTCGAAGTTCAGAGTTCGAACTTCGAAATCCGGGTTTTTCGGGATTTGTGGATATGGGTGAGTGGGTATTCGTTCGAGAGCGGATAATGAGGGGAGTCTAAAGGGATAAGGGATAAGTATGAAAGTCGAAGTTCGGAGTTCGAACTTCGAAATCCGGGTTTTTCGGGGCTGGGGGATATGGGTGAGTGAGTAGTCATTCAAGAGCTGGGACTGAGGGGAGTCTAATGGGATAAAGGATTAAGCCTAAAGTCGAAGTTCGGAGTTCGAACTTCGAAATCCGGTATGTTCGGGGTTGGGATATATGGGTGTGTGGGTATTTGTTCAAGAGGGGATAATCAGGGGAGTCTAATGGGATAAAGGATAATGTCGAACGTCGAAGTTCGGAGTTCGAACTTCGAAATCCGGTATTTTCGGGATTGGGAAGTATGGGTAAAAGGGTAGTCATTCAAGAGGGGATGTGTTTTTTCTCGCTGAAATTTCAGGCCCAAAAAATATTTTTTTCAAAATGGATATAGATATGGCAAATGAGATATCATTCGAAAGCTCTCATCGAGCTGGATATAAAAATATTTTTTTCGAATTTTTTCGGTACATTTTGAAGAAAGTACAGAGGTTCAAAAATTTGTGGGGGGTGAGTACCGTACTCGGAAAATTATGGTAGGGAGAGAGGAAAAATGATTGACAGGTGAAGTTGATGGCAGAGAGGCGAAATTTTTCTCCGTCTCTGACCATTCGGGGCAAACCGTAGAAGAGTTTGAAGGTGAATTTTGTATATGGGGGAAAATTTTGTGGAGGGATAAGCTGGATCCTGTTATGGATCTGAAGCAGCAATGCTTCGTGAAGCAGTTTCTGCTTCAAAATTTTGTTTCGGATGGGACTAATCATCCTTCTAATTGAAAGGATGAGTCCAATCATCCTTCTAATTGAAAGGATGAGTCCAATCATCCTTCTAATTGAAAGGATGAGTCCAATCATCCTTCTAATTGAAAGGATGAGTCCAATCATCCTTCTAATTGAAAGGATGAGTAAAATCGAGGGGAACACGAGGGCCGAAGGCCCGAAGTGACTCTAAGTGGAAGGAAGAGTCCAATCGAAGGGAAGACGAGGGCCGAAGGCCCGAAGTGACTCTAATTGAAAGGATGAGTCCAATAGAGAGGAAGACGAGGGCCGAAGGCCCTTAGTGACTCTAAGTGGAAGGGTGAGTCCAATAGAGAGGAAGACGAGGGCCGAAGGCCCGAAGTGACTCTAAGTGGAAGGGTGAGTCCAATCGAGGGGAAGACGAGGGCCGAAGGCCCGAAGTGACTCTAATTGAAAGGATGAGTCCAATAGAGAGGAAGCGAGGGCCGAAGGCCCGAAGTAACTCTAAGTGGAAGGCGAGGGCCGAAGGCCCGAAGTGTTCTAAGAGGAAGGACGATCCCAATGGAGGAAAGACGAGGGCCGAAGGCCCAAAGTGACTCTAAGTGGAAGAATGATTCCAATCGAGGAGAAGACGAGGGCCGAAGGCCCGAAGTGACTCTAAGTGGAAGGATGATCCCAATGGAGGAAAGAGATTTTGTTTTGGATTGGACTTATTCTTCTAATTGAAAGGATGAGTCCAATCAAGGGGAAGTCGAGGGCCGAAGGCCCGAAGTGATTCTATATAAAAGGATGAGTCCCGAAGTGACTCTAAGTGGAAGCATGGCTCCAATCGAAGTGAAGACGAGGACCGAAGTTCCGAAGTGACTCTAAGTGGAAGCATGGCTCCAATCGAAGTGAAGACGAGGGCCGAAGGCCCGAAGTGACTCTAAGTGGAAGAATGAGTCCAATCGAGGGGATGACGAGGGCCGAAGGCCCGAAGTGACTCTAAGTGGAAGGATGAGTCCAATCGAGGGGAAGACGAGGGCCGAAGGCCCGAAGTGACTCTAAGTGGAAGGATGAGTCCAATCGAGGGGAAGACGAGGGCCGAAGGCCCGAAGTGACTCTAAGTGGAAGAATGAGTCCAATCGAGGGGATGACGAGGGCCGAAGGCCCGAAGTGACTCTAAGTGGAAGGATGAGTCCAATCGAGGGGAAGACGAGGGCCGAAGGCCCGAAGTGACTCTAAGTGGAAGGATGAGTCCAATCGAGGGGAAGACGAGGGCCGAAGGCCTGAAGTGACTCTAAGTGGAAGGATGAGTCCAATCAATTGGAAGACGAGGGCCGAAGGCCCGAAGTGACTCAAATTGAAAGCATGAGTCCCATCAAGGGGAAGACGAGGGCCGAAGGCCCGAGCATTCATTACATCTAAAAGGCAGAGCAATAGTCAAAGGCATAGAATAGATCCTCCGAGGCCGAAGGCCGAGGAGTAGGCGAGGGCCGAAGGCCCGAGCTTTCATTACATCTAAAAGGCAAGCAATAGTCAAAGGCAAAGCACAGATCCTCCGAGGCCGAAGGCCGAGGAGTAGGCGAGGGCCGAAGGCCCGAGCTTTCATTACATCTAAAAGGCAGAGCAATAGTCAAATACAGAGCATAGATCCTCCGAGGCCGA